TCGTCAGTTCAACATACATTTCTATTTTTTTTTATTGCATTTACTTTAAAAAAAACAAAAAATGTACAGGCGCACTGTGAACTAGCTGAAATATAAAATCACTATATTTTAAATACATGAGATCTTTAGTAACTTCTGCCTAAATTTGTGATTCTGTATTGAGTTGTTAAAAACATTTTATTGTAATTTAGCAGAAAAAAAGCAATCTATGTAAAGTCACTACCAAAACAAAAACATTTTAAATCCTCCATAAACGAGAAAATAAAATAAGAAAAGCACACAGCATGTTTTGTGTATCATTCAGCTTCAGCTCTCCACCGATGAAGCTGCTATGTCATGTTTTATTTCGACATGTAAACAAGAGTATCATCAGCATAGAGCGCTACATAAAACACTGACACCACTGTTTAAAAGGGTCAACAGTGAACCTGCAGACAAAACAACACACTGAATTTTTACAAGTTTACTTTTCTTTGTGAGCTTTTTGTTCCTGGTCAATGTGTGTGCTTGTATTCATATCTTCCTGTACATTTTATTCTCTGTGGTGTGTGAAATTATAAAGAGAGCTTGTTACGAGAGACTGAGGGCCTGATTAATTAAGAAAGCATCTTAGCCGCTAATAGCTCTAAACATTGCGCATCATTTGCTAAAGTATTATACAAAACAATAACATTTACTGTATATAATATAGGATTTGTTTTACACTGATGCAAAATGTTGTTTGATCATAATTGCATATATATAGTCATGATTGACATTTTTAAATTCATCTAAGCGATATAGGAGATACATTTATGAGATGATGGTGGGATAGAAAATAGAGTAAAACATAGTCATCCAGCATGTGTGCAGTTTGTGGACGGACTCTTGTTCCTGAGGACGGTCAGCAGGAAGAGTCCACAGCAGTACACCAGACTCTTCACTGTCAGCACTGTGGAGAGCAGCAAGAGCAGCTTCACCTTGTATGGAGACGGGACAGAGGGATCCGCTGCAGGTGATGGAACAGAAAAAGAATAAAATCATCAACAACGTCAGTCCTCTGTTGAACTTTGTCTGATAGATCTGTAAGACAGAGGCAGTACATCCAGACTCTCTGAGCTCCAGCTGCTGTCCGTCAGCAGAGGGCAGCTCCTCTAAACATCCACTCTCCGTTTGTCGTCTCCAGGAGATTCTGACCACAGGAGGAAACATGGCTGAGGCCACACACAGCAGGGAGCACTAGAAGTGACGTGAGGGTAAACTTGTGGATGTTATGAGAGCAGCCCACTCAAATATGACACATTTTGCTTAATTTTTGCAGGTTTGCTGTTTAACAGGAAGACACAGCAGAAAATAGGCTTCCGTTTTTATTTCTAGGGTACTGTGAGGCCATATAAGGCTGACTAATGAGAAAATGAATTTTGAAGCCTCAGTTGTGATTTTGCAGCTCCTTTGTCTCTTCTTTACACAAATGCATCAAACATCCCAGTTCATCAGTATCTGTCACTGGCATATGACTCTTCTTGTGGCATGAACTCTACTTGTATCACATCTGGCTCACTTACCATGTGTGAGAACATAGCAGCAAGCGGTGCGAGGAGCCAGCAGGGTGGGCACTATTCCCCTGTGACTCGACCACAAAGCACCGATTCATCTGCCTTTACATACACTAGAATATTTGTGAAACTTTGTGGCCTGTGTGTATGTGTGCTCGCTCTAACATGCTCTGTTCAGACTGCTCTTCAGCACATAGAAGTCTGTTTCTTGAAATAAGTCATTGATATACAAACTCAAGGTCAAACTAGGAGGGCATATATCAAACAAAGCAGATAAAATCCCTGCAAACAGTCTGCACAGGCTGTTTTAAGATAAGACATCCTGATGAGAATAAGATACATGACACAGAGGCTGGAATCATAGTGATGTAAAGGTTAATACAGAGATGAAACCTTTCATGCAGGATATATATTTTTGGAGGCTTCGGTGATGACCTCAAAAAGCTAAAGAAATAACAACATAACATAAAACATTTTCCATTCACGCTGGAAAAATGACATGAAAGGAATAATTGAACATGTTTCAACCAACACACTCATTTTTACATTTTTATCCGACATACTTCTACAAGTCTTTATACTTTTACAAAATGGGAGCTTCCCATTGACGGAGATCAAATGAAGATTAACTTCATGGTGTACTCATTTTTTCCCTTGCATATGTGAGGATCATCTCCAGTGTTGCCTGTTAACAAGAGATAAGCTCTGACTCCTATCTCTTCATATAGTGGACAGAACTTAAAATAAAGCAGCCTCCCTGCATGCCTTAGATGAGTTACCTGGATGGCTCCAACCTAAGACTTCATGGGGAGACATCACTGCTAATGTTGGCAAAAATGCTGAGTCATGGAATGACAGGAATTTTTTCCGTTATTAAATTGACAACACAAGTATTAACCATGGGATACTTCACAAGTGTACGTGGCAGAAAAGTGGCAGGCCAAAGATGGATGATGGACACTTGAGTAAAGAGAAATGCAGAGCTGTCAACTGATGACCACCTATGGTAAGTTGGATCAGGTGATTGGGGAAGCTGCTATCCCTAATCAGGCTCAACGTGCAGTAGAGGTGAAATGGGTTCCTGCTCAGAGGATCCTCAACTTCTACCTTTGTAGAAACTTTTCCTGCTTTAAAGGGGAGGTTCAGGCCGTACAGACATTAGGGGGGTTGCCACCTTCAGGTCTGCAAATTCTTATTTTTGTTCCAGTTGTTTTACACAAAAATACAAAAAAATAAATGTTTCTAAAAACATTTTATTAAAGATTAATATTCTGGGTATAAAAGCCTCACTGGTTCGGCCCACAGACTGTTTTAAAGTTTCAATCTTGATCATATTTGATATACTATGTTTTTCATTTGTTGATTTGGTATTAGTAATGAGTTCTTTAGTGATACATTTTCAGAACAGCCTTATCTGCAGAAAGTTATTCCAGTTAGACACAGTTTTTTTATTATAATTAATAATAAGTGTTATGTTGGCTGTAAACAATTATATTTATAAAAAGTGTTGATTTTAACAAGACATAGTCAACCACTATATTCACATGGCAGCCATTTTCCTCTGAATCGATGCTAATGTGTTAGCCGTCTCACAGCTGTGTGCTGTATGGGCTATCCCTAAAATTTGATATCTGACAAGTTCTTCGCATGTATGTGTGCACATACATGCTTTCATTATGTCATATCACATGACATCACAACATTTCATTTCATAAAGATTCTGATGACATCAAATTATGTATATCCAATTATAAAACCATCCAAATGTTATAAACAAAGCTACAAAGCTGATGAATCAATGTGAGACGCTGTATGTCACAAAACTTCCACCAATTCAATTCTGACAAAAGTGATATCTGTCGTTTTGCTTTTATTTCGTTATGTCTAGATTATTGTAATGCACTTGTTTACCTGCTTCAGTACACGAGCCACAAACAAACTTCAGATCTCTGCAACCAGACTTCTCATAAAGACAAAGCAAACCTGACACATCACACCTGTTTAAGCTTCACTTCACTGATTACCTGTTTCTTTATTCATTATTAAATTTGACTCATTCCCTAAAAGGCTTTATGTGGCCTGGCACTAGAATACACCAGCAGGCTTTTTTAACGCCTTGCTGCCCCAAAAAGTCCTCTTAGATCGGCCACATGAGACCTGCTCATCATATCAAAGTCAAGGTATGATGTCGAGGTCAAAGGTTAATCAAGCTTTTGCTGTGATGGCTCCTCAGCTCTGAAACAGACTCCCACTCAGGGAGCAGACTCTGTTTCTGCTTTTAAAATCCTGTTTTAAGACACAGTTTTATGGACTCACCTTTTTAGCCAACAGCTTATTTTATAAGAGCCCTGGAGTACATTTCTTAACTGAACTAAAATAATCTTTTAACTGTATATTTACATTTTGATGTTTTGTGATTTTATTTTCCAATTGTGATGTTTTTCTTCACTTATCTCTGGAAAGCCCTTTAATGCTCTCGTCTTCAAAGTGTTATATAAATAAAGTATTGTTACCTAAATGCAAGATAACACTGCTGCTTTAGTGATAATAGTCTGATTAGATCAAATTCTCTACAAACGATGGCACTGGATAACAAGCATCTGCTGCCCCCTTGTGGATAAAAAGAGACTTCAAGAAACTTAAAGCCTGAAAGAAAACAACCATCAGGTGTTCATCACTGAGCAATCTTCAAAGATTTAGAAAGGATTGACACATTAAAAATAAAAGAGAAATCTATGACAGGGAGAAAATGTATACAATGTAAGTATTGGGCCTTTTAAAAAGCTCTGTGCATCTTAAAGAGGCCAAAATCCAATGTCTGGTTGCCGTGATCTTTAGGTCCTCAGACGGAGCTGTGTTAAAAACAGACATGATTCTGTTTAGGACATCACTGTACTACAAAGACAGTTAGACAAACCTTCATCGTACAGGCCTCTGAGGTCCAGTGGAAATGGGCTGTCAGGTTCACACTTGTAATGCTGATTTTGGTCACAAGGTGGCAGCAATTAAAAATATATAAATGTCAGCTCGTCAAGTGCATCTTGGTCCTTCTTCCTGCTTAAACAACAAACACTGTGGAGCGCTGTTTTACTCTTAGATGATTGGTTTATATACATCCTGTTAAATTTCAAGAATAAAAACAGAAAAAAAATTATATCTGTATTTATGAGCAAGGAGGATAGAATGTGTGTGTGTGTGTGTGTGTGTGTGTGTGTGTGTGTGTGTGTGTGTGTGTGTGTGTGCGTGCGTGTGTGTTTGTGTGTATCTGCATGTGTGTGTGTGTGTGTATGTGTGTGTGTGTGCGTGCGTGTGTGTTTGTGTGTATCTGCATGTGTGTGTGTGTGTGTGTATGTGTGTGTGTGTGTGTGTGTGTGTGCTGTTATGGGGATATAACTGCAGGTTGTGTAAGGTCTGATATGAACCAACTAATGATATTAAAAAGGCAAACAAAGAAAAGAAACCTCAACACATTAATTCAGGTTTATTTGAAATATACAAAGATTCAAATATTTTGCATTGGGTCTGTAGCATACAGTGTTTGTAAAGAAGTAAGCAAACAACAAGACTGAGACGAAGTATATCCAAAAATATTGTCTTCACCTTAAAGCAAACACTTGTGTAAAAAGCAGGATTGAACTAGATATTCTGACTGTAAGACATTGGAAAACTTTGGTTTCATTTTACATATTGGTTGATTTGAGAAGAAGACATGACAGAAGCTCAGGATTACTCTACATCAGGGGTCCCCAACCATCGGGCCTCGGGCCGTTACCGGGCCTTGGGTTGTTTCACACCGGGCCAGTCACACCCAGTGGGAAGCAAGAGGGTGGATGTAATTGCCATAAAGGAACTCCTTTGACTTCATCAAAAGGCTTTTTTTTTTTCTGAATTTGATTCAGTAAAAGTTTAAATATGAAGATACAAACATTTTACTGATAAGGTCACGTGTGGGTCAAAGCTGCGCATGCTAGTGAGGAGAGAACATGAAGAAACAGATCACATCAACACGTTTTTTTACTTGGGCTCCTGAAAAAAGGCTCATAGACAGTGAGGATATGGAGACATATCTCATTTAGCTCTGACTGCTAACAAACCAAGGCTCCGCAGCAGAGTGGATGTTAGAAACCCGCAGCGCCTTTCACTCGCAGACAAAACGCCATGCTTCGACCACCTTGTCTCCAGAAAACTGGCTCACACTGATGGCGAGTTAAGTTTAGATTTTTTGAGAGTTTTCTACAGTCGTTTGGGTTGCATTATGCTTTTACTGTACTTCATATATCTCAATGTGACATTAGTAGAGGATGGTGTACAATCCGCCCCCACCCCACCGGTCCATCAGAAATATGACAGCTGCTGTCTGGTCCATGATGGGTACCTCTGGTTCTACATCACATCAGTCAACTTCTTCTCTTCTTGAACACACTTTTAAACTGTTAGCATGTCAGTGTGCCTGCAGCTTGCTGTAGATCATGTCTTTGCTGGCTGCTGCAGTCTGACCCTCATAGATGGTAGAGTAAATATGGTACAAAGACCGCTGGGAAAAGACAGAAACCAACTTGAGCATCTGGTATATCTGGAAAAATGTGATTATTGTTCTTCCTGTCCGACTTACGTTGCTTTTCCGAGACTCACTCCTTTCCATTCCCTCAGAACCTGTGACTGAGGAAGACACACAGATGAGAAAATGTTCCCTATAGCTTTACATTTTACAGCACACTCTGTCCATTAATTAGAACCTTTCAGTCCGATGGATCGATGTTTACGTCCAGAAAAGAGAAATGAATAATGATGCCCTTCATATTGCTGGAGAGCTTGACTGACATTTATTATTTAAATTGTATTTATTTTTCCTTTTTTAAGGGGTGTACTGATTTAAGGGGAGACGAGTCAACTACCAGAGATGGTGGATGATGTAATAAAGTAAACTTAGAAACAGGATTGGGAAAGATGGAGTTTTTTAGATGCATTAACTCAATAAAATATTATTTGTTTAGCACATTTCATACAAAATTAAACTCAGTATGCTTGACAGAAGAGAAACAAAAACAAACACAATACAATACGGTTGATTTCCAGGTCATTGATCACATAGTGGCAGTTTCAGTGCTGCGGTTTGCTCTGTAACCTAATTGGTACAGATCACACAGACTGTGAATGGATGGTAACCGTAATTGTTTGTAGAATTTGACTGAAGGTTGGAGATTGGTCTGTAGTTGGTAATGATTGATGGGTCAGGTTTGTTGTTTTTTTTAGTAAAGGAGTAACTGTAGCAGGTTTTAGAGAAGTGGGGAAAACCAGTCTGAAGAGAATCATTTACAACATGATGTAAGTCATGTAACAGGCTGTGAGGGATACATTTACACAGTTTTGTGGGAATAGGGTCAAGAGGAGAGGTAGAGGTAGGTACTGTACAGTACTAACTTGGACACATGTGGGCTGATGAGAGGAGCCTGAAGTGTAAGTTCTTATGCTCAAGATTTTATTTTATTTTTTAAATTTTTCTTTATTTTGCAACTGGCGACCTCATTACATTTATTCTCAGAGAGTAATTCCTCAGAATTTGACCTATAAGGATTTAATAGTTTACTAACTGTGAAGAAGAGATAGTGAGTATCATTTGTATTGTAATTTATCATTTTTGAGATGTGTTGCTGTTTTGACATTTTCAGTTATTTTTTTCTGACAGGTCAGTATACTTTTTCTAGATTTAAAAATATATCTGAAGCTTTTAATCTCACCATTTTTGTTCAGCCTTTTCGGTGAGATCTTTTGAGCATACTCACTTGTTCCCCATTCCTCCCAGGAGTCTTTGTTTTTTTTGTTTAATAGTAGACTTTTCTAGTCTTCTGACTACTCAAAGCACTTTTTACACCTCAGGTCACATCTATTCATTCACACACTGATGACAGAGGTCGTTATGTGAAGTGATCATCAGAAGTAACTAATCCCATTCATACACATGCATACGGCAGCAACGAAGCAGTGGGAGAAACTTGGGGTAAGTGTCTTGCCCTTGCCCACATGTGGCTGCAGGAGCTGGGGTTCAAACCCCCGACTGTCCGGTTGAGAGACGACTCGATCACTGATCCACAGCCGTGTTGTTTTATTGGCTTTTGATGGGAGCAGTGTTGCCAATGATTTGACTAACAACAGAGTTAAATTGGCCCTCATCTCATCACATGATGACATGATTATGGTTCATGTATTAATATACATATCAGTGGTATTGTCATTAATAGAACGCGTATTTGAAATGATAACCACATTGTCATGTCTTGGTTTGCAGGTCATATTAAAAAAGATGCAGAAGTGATCTGAATTGCAACATCGAGAAAAGCAGTAACCGTTATTACTTTACTGTGTCCTTTAAATAGAATCAGGGCGATGGTGTGACCTTATTTTCATGTGGGCCCCTTAAACCGCTGTGAGAACTCAAATGCTTCTAGCACATTTAATAACAGTTTTGTGTTCAGATTATTGATGTGAATACAAAGTCACCAGAAATTACAACACAGTCATAGTTAATGGAAACTTTTGAATGCATCAATAAAATATGTTCTTAGTTTAGGAGGGTGATACATGGCGAGAAACATTATGGGAACTACAGCTTGGACAACCACCATGGGCGGTCTGGGCAGGGGCCAACAGGGGGCAGTGCCCCTGTAACACTGTGGCCACCCCTCCAAAAGGAAGAGCCCCCCTAATAACACATACACAGTATTTAACTCAACAACAATCTACTGTGATATTAACGGAAACACATGTAAATCATGGTATTTAATGATGTGCACTATTATTTAGCATAATACATACATATATATATATATATATATACATACATATAAAAAAGCGATTATCTTTGTCCACTTTTCACCTTGGTTTAATGTTCCCCTCTAACAAAACAACTGGCCCCAGTTTGGCCCCCTCAGTAAAAGTGATCTATAACTGCCACTGACAACCACAGCTAAGAATTGAAGGTTGTGAAACACTTTATGTTATTAAGAAATGCACCTCACCTCACCTCCAGCTCACGTTCAGAAGTGCAATGAGATATGAGATAGGAGAGTGTTCTCAACGACGCTGTCTCCATGTCTTAGCGTTGTGTTCTACCACACTTGTCTTTTACTCAGTTTGAGCTGCAGCTCTTTGTGGTTATATATGCGCAAGCTGACATTTACCACAGAAGTTATTTTAATAGGCTAGCTGTGAACCATGTGAACTCAACAGTTGCCATTTTTCCGAGGTCTCCTCAGCGGAGTCTTCAATCATGCTTCACCAAAACCTTTAAAGCTGGGTGCATGTTAGAGCAGCCATTCAAACCTGACCCCTTTTACTGACATCAATGTTTTCTGATGTCTTCTCCAAATGCACCTTCAGTAAATTAAACACTATTTAATTCATTATACTCGAAATGCATTACAATTTAGTTTTAAATGTGTCTGTCTGAAGTAGTAACTCTTACAAGTACATATTCAAAGTAGATTTTAACCCTTCAATAGGGATTAAAGGGACAGCTGTGTCCAGTGGTAGAGTCGGTTTCTCAACCAGGAGGTCAAGGTTTGATCCCAGCTCCTGCAGCCACACGTCCAATCTGTCCTTGGGCAAGACACTTAACCCCAAGTTGCTCCTGCTGTTAATACTTGTTTGTAAAAGGGATCTTGAATAAATACAATGTCATACCTGTGGTTTTGATGAGTGATGGCATTCTCTGGGTCCTTCTGGACTCTTTCTCTACAATCCTGCAGCAGAAGAGGTTAGAGTGATGTTAATGTCAATCTACATGACAACAAGCATTCACAGCTGCTTCGTCAGCGGCATATGAATTTGTATGAATGGATTAATTCACACTGATGGACATTGACATTGCAACCTCTACCATCAGTGTGTGAATGTGTAAGTATGTGACCTGCAGTGTAAAAGTGCTTTGAGTAGTCAGAAGATGAGGAAAGTGCTATACAAGCTCAAGTACATTTACCATTTTACAATCGCACTTTTAGAGCTTACAAAATTTCACTACAAAAGAAAACTGAAAGAGTAAAGTTTAAAAGTTTGATATTTCAGTCTTCTACATAACAAAGATTCTGACTTCATTTGACTCACCAGCTCTTCTTTTCTTCCAAAGAACATAACAATCACTGTGATGACCACAGTAGATCCACACCAGCGAAACCCAGACAAACGTCCAATTCCACAATTCTTTAGTATCCGGAGGACTTACAGTCGGACCTGCACAGCCAAAACAGTTTTACAACAAGAAAAAGAGAACAATTTGAGTATATCATGCATTGATATCAATATTGGTTTAACTTTCATTTAATTCCCAGGTGCTGTCTTATTTGAGGCCGCAGTAATACCTGTATCTTAAAAGCACACAAGCACAAAAACATTCAAACGTATCCATTATCTTTGAACATAAGTGAAGAAGCATTGACTCTGTAAGTGTCTGACTTTAACAAGGAATGTTTTTTATTAACCCAGAGTGTTTTGGGCAAAAAGTGGAAAAGACAAAAATCCAGATGGTTAATGTCCTTCTGTGTACAAGCTCAGTCATAAATGCCCAGATTTACAGTCCACTCTGCTGTTAAACATCACTATTGTACATGATGTTGTCGGTGACAGCTAGGAA